CCACCTTTAAAGTGCTCCATGGCATCGGGCCTGGATATCTCCGAGACCGCCTTCTGCCACAGATCCCCTCTCACAGACCGGTACGCTCCCACAGAGCGGGCCTCCTCAGGGTGCCGTCGGCCAAGCAGTGTCGGCTGGCGACCCCCAGGGGGAGGGCCTTCTCTGTGGGTGCCCCCACCCTCTGGAACGAACTACCCCCTGAGATCCGGACGATTCCGGACCTCCTACCTTTTCGCCGCGCCCTCAAGACATGGCTTTTTCAACAAGCGGGTCTGGCCTAGGGAGAATTTTTAAATAGGGACAATTTTAATTTAAATCTTAATTAATTATACAGCGAGAAAAAAAAATATTTGGTTTTTAATAGGTTTTTATGGGGGGACGATGTTTTATGTGTTTTAATATGCTGTAAGCCGCCCTGAGTCCTATAGGGAGAAGGGCGGCATATAAATCCATGTAAATAAATAAAAAATAAAAATAAATAAATAAATATGAGTCGGTTGCCAAGCGTCCGAATTCTGATCACGTGACCATGGGGATGCTGCAACGGTCGTAAGTGTGAAAATTGGTCATAACTCACTTTTTTTCCCAGTGCCGTTGTAACTAAATGAACTGTTGTAAGTCGAGAACTACCTGTAGTAAGGGGTTAAAGGGCTGGATTAGGAGCAGGGAGACTCAACAGAAAATAACAGAAGAGTTGGAATGGACCTTGGAAGTCTTCTAGTCCAACAGAGGTGATCACATGACTCTACAACCGTCATAAATATGAGCCGGTTACCAAGCGTCCAACTTTTGATCACATGACCATGGGGGGGTACTGCAACGGTCGTCAGCGTGAAAAATGGTCATAAGTCACTTTTTTCAGCGACCTTGTAACTTTGAATGGTCACTAAATGAATCGTTGTATGTTGAGAACTACCTGTATTGTAAGGTTGCGTTAACGGAACCTTGCAACGCTGAAAGTACAAATCTCCCGCCGTCTCCTATATAGCCTGAGAAATTAGGGAGGGTCCCTAATGTGCCCCTTGCCCTGTCCACTGTCCAGCTGTGGGCTATGCTGTCTCTTATCTGACTGTTTGTTAGGCAGCAATTCTTCCCTCCCCCCTTATCCTTCAAGGTTATTCCTATAGACCAGTGATGGCGAACCTTTTAGAGACAGAGTGCCCAAAAACTGGCCCCGCCCCCATTCCTCTCCCTGCTCCGCCCCCGCTCTGCCCCCCATTCCCCGCCCTGCCTGCCCACAGACCACTCACCACCTCCAGGGCCCGCCGCAGATCGCCCAGGCAGCCCAGCAGCGCTATGGCGGCCACACCCTCTGCCCTCACCCTGCAGCATCAACTGCATGATGGGGCGTGAGGGCAGAGTCTTGTCTACGCTGCCTGGCTGCCATGTCCTTGGCTGCACTGCTCCGGGTGGGCCACGCTCGAGGGTGACTCTCTTTCAGGGGGGCTGCTGGAGAAGAGGGGGTCACGGGGGGAAGCAAGGCTGGGGCAACGGCACGTGTGCCCACAGAGAGGGCTCCGAGTGCCGCCCCTGGCACCCATGCCATAGGTTCGCCACCACTGCTATAGACCAGGGATTTCCAAACTTGGCAACTTTAAGACTTGTGGACTTCAACTCCCAGAATTCCCCAGCCAGCTATAGATACCATTTATAACTGAAGTGCCCTAAGCTGGATCTGACTCTCCCATCAAGCAAGAAGGATGGGATGTTTGAACACCCGTGTAAACGCAGCCTTCAGAAATGCTTCCTTTCTCACCTCAGGTGTATGTTCGGAGGGCATACATTGCCTACGAGCTGAACAGCGTCCAACATCGCCAGCTGAAAGACAACACGTGTGTGGTGGAATTCCAGTTTATGCTCCCGACTTCACATCCAAACAGGTTAGACTATTAAAATGCAGGTATTTCTAAGGGGTTTGGAAGAAGGAGCAATGTGGGGGGGGGTTTTGAAAAGGGTGTTTTTCACCTGGACTTGGGGGGGCTGGGAAGCAAGAATTTCAACCCCGTCTGTTAAGTTGTGTTAAAAACCACGAGTTAGATGTGGCGTTATTCAGGGTTAATAATGGCCACCCTGTTATCAATGGTTTCTGAATTGTTTTATGTGTTTATTTGAATTTATGAGCGGCAATGGACTCTCTTACGTGTGAAAGACTTTATGTGCAGCATAATGTCCACAGATCGAGGACCTTTCCCTGCATTGTGATAAACATGTCCTTCTGCTATGTCCATGGAGATTCTCAATCGTCCAGGTCATGGTTGTCCTGAAGGTGCTTTTCCAAAAGGCAACTGGACTTTCTTGGGCTTTTTTTCCCTTGACAATGATTTGCTTGAACTGAAGAAGCTTCTTGGATGAGAAGCAAAACATTTTCAAGGGAAAACCCCCCCAAGAAAATCCAGTTCCTTTTGGAAAAGCAGCTTTGGAACATCCTCCCTATATAGCTTTCAATACTGGGCTCATTTGGGGAGGGCAGCTGACATCTGCAAATAGCAGAAACCTTGTGATGACTTTATTTTTTTGCTAGTGATGGTTTGCAATTTCCTCCTACAGCGATCCACTCAGGATCCTAAGGGTCTGCCTTAAGAGGCACCAGGTTTATGGTGAAACCCTTCCTCCTTAAAAGAAATTAAAAGAAAGAAAAAGAAATTGTAGGCTCTCAAGCAGGGCTCTTCAAACTTGGCCCTTTTATGACTCGTGGACTTCAACTCCCAGAATTCTTCAGCCAGCATGCCTGGCTGGGAATTCTGGGAGTTGAAGTCCACGAGGTCATAAAAGAGCCGAGTTTGAAGAGCCCTGCTGTCAAGCTTTGGCGTCTTTCTAGTTTTGCAATTTTATCAAAGCCTTCCAGGAAAACCTCCCTCTATTGAAGCACAGTTTATTTATAGGACAAAACCAACAAGTCATAAAGCTGAAAATGAAATTAGGTTTCTTCTAAGGGTCCTCAACCTTGACAACTTTAAGACTTGTGGACTTCAACTCCCAGAATTCCTCAGCCAGCAAAGCAAAGCTGGCTGAGGAATTCTGGGAGTTGAAGTCCACAAGTCTTAAAGTTGCCAAGGTTGAGGACCCCTGTTCTAAGAGATGCCCTAGGTTGGATGGGGAGGAATACAGTGGACTGGTTGTGTCACTGGTTAAAGGGTTGGTTCCTTTAAAGAGTTGGACAGGTTTATTTTTAAAAAGTGGCAATATTTTATTGGGTAATTCTTAAGTCACGTAGAGGTAGTCCCAGACCTGTGACTATAGGTCGTAACTCATTACAGTTGCAAGTTGAGGCATCAAGTGACTTGATTCAAAGTTACGACCATTTAGGTCGGGTAGGCAACCTTGGCTCTTTTATGACTCGTGGACTTCAACTCCCAGAATTCCTCAGCCGGCATGGCTCAGCATGGAAACCTCTTCATTTCCCCTCAGCATGGCTGGCTCAGGAATTCTGGGAGTTGAAGTCCACGAGTCATAAAAGAGCCAAGGTTGCCTACCCCTGATTTAGGTGAACGCATTTTACACAATAGGCATTTTTTTTTTGGCCAAAAACTGGAAGTAAACACTGAAAACTGGCAAAAAAAACCCATTGCAAATTGCAGTCATGTGACTGTAGGATGCTGCAAATGGCCGTAAAGGTGAGCCAGTTGCCAAGTGCCCCAAATGTGATCACATGACTGCCGGTGTGGGTGCAGCTGTTCTAACTCCAAAAAATGAGTTGTAAGTGAGTTGTAAATTGTAAGTGAGCCCCAAAATTTCATTGCTAAGCAAGATAGTTAAGAGAGTCTTGTCCTATTTTACGATCTTTCTTGCCACAGTTGTTAAGTGAATCACTGCAGTTGATAAGTTCGGAACACAGTTGTTAAGTGAATCTGGCTTCCCCCCATTGACTTTGCTTGTCTGAAGGTCACAAAAGGGGATCGCGTGACCCCGGGACGCTGCCACCGTCATGAATATGACCCAGTTGCCAAAATTTGATCACGTGACAACGGGGACCCTGCCCTGGTTGTAAGCGTGAAAAACTGTCATTCATCACTTTTTTCATTGCTGTTGTAACTTTGAACGGTCGCTAAATGGAAAGTTGTAAGTCAAGGACTAACTGTATTCTGATCCATCAGTGTGCTGTGATTGATGTTGCATGAATTAGATCAGGGCTTTTCACCCTTTTCACCCATTGTACCACTTTTAGGATATGGCAATATCCGAGTACCACCAGTCGCCTAGCAAGGGGTCAAAAACTTGATGACCCAAAAAAAAAGGAAAAAAGTGATAAAGTACAGATAATTCTCGACTTAGAACAGTTCGCTTAGTGACTGTTCGAAGTTACAATGGCACTGAAAAAAGTGCCCCCCCCAAGGCACAGCCGAGCAAGACACCTGCCTGCCCACCCGGTGACGTTCTTCTTCCTGTCCGAGGTTTCCATTGTTTTGAGCATTTCTGTTGAGGATTGGCAGCGGGGGTGGGGTGGTGTTTGGTTTTTATTCCCCCCGTCTGCTGGGTGGTTGCAGCAGGTCTTGGTCACTTCACATGACCCTGGGACACTGTGACCGTCATAAATATGAATCAGTTGCCAAGCATCTGAATGTAAATCACAAGACCCTGGAGATGCTGCAACATTCCAGCTGATCGGCGCTTCTTCTGGGCTCAGCATGAGTGCCAGGATCAGCACCGAGCTCCAGCTGGAGCCTGGCGCTGATCCTGGCGCTTCCGCTGAGCCCTGACAGCCCTGCAGCTCCAGCCGTCTCTCGCTCAGGCTTGTGCGGTGCTGCCACCGGTTCAGCCCATTCCCCTCCCCCGCTCCCACTTTTCTAGGATGGTCGCGTACCACCTGCCAGGTGCCAATGTACCACAGGTGGCACCTGTACCACTGGTTGAAAAGCCCTGAATTAGATGAATGGCAGTGGTGGGGAAAGTTTTTTTTCCTAATGCCCTCTCTGCCCCTATATATCTTTCAAATTGGCCTGTCCCTGAGAAGCTAGTTTTCAGTTTGCAGGGAAATATTTTGTTACACCCAAATAAGCATTATGACCTGATTCTACTGGCCTACAATCAGTGGTGCAGTATTTTTCCATGCCCTTCGCACTGTGCCACTAATTCAGCGGAACTGAGACTCAGCCTTTGCACACGGGGACAGTTTTTCCTTAGATCTTTGCAGATGGTGACTGGGCAACGTAGTAGCCTGGTGGTGAAGACACTCGCCTCTCACTCAGAAGGTTGAGAGTTCAATCCTAGGTAGCAGTTGATATTTCTTTCCCAGGGTGCAAAGAATAAATATCTGCTGTGAATGCTGTGTAGGCGTCAGGAAGGGTATCCAGCCAGTAAATGCTCAGCTCCATCCAGTCGTCTCAACTCTACCTGAATTAAGGGATTACAGTAGGGGTCTTCAAACTTGGCCCTTTTATGGCTTGTGGACTTCAACTCCCAGAATTCTGGGAGTTGAAGTCCACAAGTCATAAAAGGGCCAAGTTTGAAGACCCCTGGATTACAGGGTCATAAAAAAAGGTTTCCCAAGTTGCAATGTATGGCTGTGAAAGTTGGACCATAAGAAAGGCTGAGCGCCAAAGAATGGAGGCCTTTGAACTCTGGTGCTGGAGAAGACTCCTGCGAGTCCCCTGGACTGCAAGGCGATCAAACCGGTCAGTCCTAGAGGAGATCAACCCCGACTGCTCTTTAGAAGGCCAGATCCTGAAGTTGAAACTCAAGTACTTTGGCCACCTAATGGGAAGGAAAGACTCACTGGAGAAGAGCCTAATGCTGGGAAAGATGGAGGGCAAGAGAAGAAGGGGACGACAGAGAATGAGGTGGCTGGATGGAGTCACTGAAGCAGTAGGCCTGAGCTTCAGTGGACTCCAGAAGATGGTAGAGGACAGGAAGGCCTGGAGGAACATTGTCCATGGGGTCGCGATGGGTCGGATACGACTTCGCAACTAACAAAAAGGAGTTTTGCAGATGGTGATTGAACAATTCATTGATTCTTACAGAGCCAGACAGCATAATATTTTTTTTAATCAAGAGAGATTTGAATTTCTGTAGGAGCGCTTTTCCTAGTCATCTCTTTTTCTCTTGGAGGCATATCGGTTAAATCTGAAGGGTAAGCTCCTTCTGAGAACATCACCCCTTCAAGGTAGACCAGGCTAGGAAACCAGGCCGGCCGGCCAGCCAATACAGGTAGTCTTCAACTTACAACAGTTCATTTAGTGACTGTTCAAAGTTACAACAGCACTGAAAAAAGTGACTTATGACTTATTTTTCACACTTAGGACCATTGCAGCCTCCCCTTTTTCACATGATAAAAATGTGAATACTGGCTCATATTTATGACGGTTGCAGTATCCTGACGTCATGCGATCCCCTTTTGCGACCTTCTGACAAGCAAACCAGGTTCACTTAACAACCATGCAACTAACTTAACTGCAGGGGTTCACTTAACAACTGTGGCAAGAAAGCTCATAAAATGGGGACAAAACTCATTTAACAAATGTCTCACTTACCTATGGAAATTTTGGACTCAATTGTGGTCGTAAGTCGAGGACCACCTCTATAAGGGGAAGGAGAGGAACCTCTGTTTGGCTTTCAAGAGTCTGTTATTTTATTTTTTTAACAATAAGTTCTGGCAGTTCTTCTGAAGTACTTGGAAGGGCTTAAAAAAGTTTGCATTTCTGCTTCAGAGTGGCCTCGTAGAGCAGGGCTTTTCAACCAGTGGTACGGGTACCACCTGTGGTACATTGGCACCTGGCAGGTGGTACGCGACCATCCTAGAAAAGTGGTAGCGGGGGAGGGGAATGAGCTGAACTGGTGGCAGCACCACACAAGCCTGAGCGAGAGACGGCTGGAGCTGCAGGGCTGTCAGGGCTCAGCGGAAGCGCCAGGATCAGCGCCAGGCTCCAGCTGGAGCTCGGCGCTG